TCGGTGTGTCCAACTCCGCTACAAGAGCTTCCTTCAACCTGCCCCAGTTCATCTCCTGAGAGCCACTTCTAGCCGAATCCAGCGCCGCATTTGCCCGGCTTCTGACGAGAATCTTCAGTGCCCCAAACTACTCCGGCCGGTCTCCAGTCCGGCAGCTTCCGCAAACTCCTTGAAGTCCTCCCGGAAGATCCGAACATTCCAATCCTTAAAGGTTTATGGTCGCGGCATATTCATCCTTATCCTGATCAAGGCACCAAATGAAGGGTAGAAGCCCTTCGGTGGGGAGCACTTTATTAGAGAAAAATATGTGAACGGTTGCAGACCATTTGTCAGGAAAGCAAAACTCTCATACGCACATAGCTTTTAAAAACGGAATATTCGTTTCCTTCTTAAACGCGTTTTCCTGAATTTTTAGGGATTTTCATTGACTGTCAAGCAAATATCAACGAATGCTAAAAGGCAATGCCACGGTTTCTGTGATAAATCCAACCTTTCATGAGATCAAGTCGGAGTTACGAGAAGCCAACTACGACTCGCATAACTCATCAGTAGTGTAACGCATTTGAAAGCCGGCTGTATCTGCTTGCACGTCTCTCATATGACCTTATACGTGCCTCTCCCTCTCTCTCCCTATTGCAGGTACCACGGACGAGCCACCACGAGCCCCGGGCAGGAAAGAGTAACCCTCTTGTACACCCTCCTGATTGACCTTGACCTGATTTTTTTACCCCCGTCTTCCGGCTTCGGTTTCGGTTTAACACACGTGTGTTGTTGCCACACTCCGGTGTTCTTGTCTGTGTCGCCCGATCTGTGCGAATGTGTGCTGTGTGTGCCGTGTGGATTCCGTAACACCAACCTCTGTCTCTGCACATTTCAGAACTGACATATGCCATCGCTACATTCTCTCGAACGTCGAATACCGTTGACTTCCTGATGTCCCACGCTACAGTAGTATACACTTTTACACGGAGCCGCTAGGCCTCGTATGAAGCAGCCGTATGTCGGTACATAGACCACGTGACTCGGACCAGCCAATCATTTGCTTTAGTTTGGCGTGTGCATGAATCGATCATTGAAGTAAGAGACCAATACAGCGTTGAATGGCCGTCCAGCACGCCACAAATCGAAGGATTTTTCCGATGTTTCACCAGTAATATAGCCGATGGATTGCTTACAAACTTCTGGTATGAGACAGACTTCCTTTAAATCGTTTGAGTTCGTTTGTTCAGAGGGTAATTTTATTTCTTTTCGGCTCACAGCAAGATCAGCTGGTCACAGTTGATTTGACTGGTCATTGGGCCATTCCGGCAGCTGGTGCAAATTCATGTAACGGACCATTTATTCAGTGAAACGCTGAGAGGCAACACCGTGAATTTCTCTGCTAAAAAGTAGGGAAACCCTGACGAGGAATCCTAAATGAGCTTTAAATTGTATGAACAGGATGTTTTCGACCGGCAATTTATCATGAAATACCACTAAAAACAAGTTCTAGTAACGGGATATTCAGTAACTCCGATTTCGGTACCTTTTTATGGAAGGCTTCGAACAAAAAGCTTCAGCCAGATACCTGTGACCACCCAAGATATTCTGACATTTTGTAGGTGACACTTCTGTCGTGATGAAACGAGGTGAGTTCAAAAATATGTGAACAACCAGAATCCAGAAGTCAAATTTAAAATGGAGTTAGAGTCAGCTTCCGGTATACTTTCCTTCCTAGATTGCATGATACATTAGTTAGAGAGGACTGAAAACCACAGTGTATTAGAAGAAGACTGACATTGAGGTGATCTTGAACTTCTCGTCTACCCATCCAAAGTCGATATCCGATAGTTCACCTCATCAGTGCTCAATCGAGTAAGGATCTTGTGCACATAAAATGCTGAACGGACAGCGATCCCAATTGAAATAAAGAACTAACTTCGGGCTCGTGGATATCTAGCTAGTCTGACTGGGCGGCAGTTAAGAAGGTTGTCGGTGGCAAAATTCCACTGGCAGCAGATTAGGACTGCTGTTATTCCATATGAATCAGGGACGTCCAAATTAATTGGAAGGATTTTAAACACCGCCAACGTAAGAGTAGAGTTCCAGAAGGGAAATTGCACTGGTGCAGTTGAAAGGCTGCCTTCTAAATATTGAATGCAACGACTGCACTGTCTCTACAGGATAAACGGCCGATGAACACCAGAATAGGAGTGCACAGGAGAGAAAATAAGCGGGCCACAAAGAAACACAGAGCATTAGTGCCTCAACAATGGCAGGACATGCAGTGGACGCCAAACACAAAATGGACTTAGAAACTGTTGAAATTTTCAGGCGCTTATCAGAAGAACTCATCAACAGAAGAAACCCAGATTTGAACTGCGCTTGATCTAACTCACCCTCCCCAACTAAACTATCGTAGAACATGCAAGTCCACACAGACGAACGATATCTATGGTGGCATTCAAGGTGAACCATCAGTTGAAGTACGTTGAACTAGAAGGTTCAGGAACCAAACCCGATTAGAAATAATTTGAGGTTCCCTCAGCACACCAACCGTATGATTTGGGCAACCACACCTGCTGACACGATCCCTAATTTGAAATTCAACGCTGTCCTAGAAGGCTAATCTGAACTGGTCTAACTGATAGGTTCTCCGTCCGGCCAACTTGGTCACGTGCCCAATTGGCCTGGTGGAGCTTCTGTGTCAGATACGAAACGTTGTCTGGTTAAAAACTACCCAATGTTCGCCAAGTTCATCTGAAACGATGAAGGAGTGTAGTTTATGTAGAACAACATTTTCGAAAAAACGAACATAGGTAAATTAAACCCGCATTGTTTTTCACGTTCCGCGCTGCGTAGTTTCATTGGCAAGTGAATAAATTGAGGGGCGTTCTAATCAAGGCCACGTTTGATGGTGAGATTACCGAATTAAGAAGCTGTTTCTGACCAAACATATGGCAAATAGTGTGGACCTCAGCTACCTTTAATCTCATCATGTTTTGTGTACCGAAAGCGATAGCGAATCGGTCGGTCGATCGATACAACCAGTGTATTCGATCAGATGGTAAACAGATGGCAAGGACGCCAGCGGAAGTTAGTGTGGTCCTCTGCACTCCGAGGTTGTGTTTCCATGCAACTAATTAAGCTAACCGAATTCGCATTCTCGAGGACATGTCTTTTCCTTTCTCTTTCGAAAAGATACCATTCCTTCAGTGGTGCAACCATGTGGCCATTGCGTAGTTACGCAACCATGTGCTAAAGCCATTTTCATCCACTAATCCGGTCAGATCTACGTTAGCGGAAGAAGGTGTGATATGGAATGCCGTTCCGGTGTTCGGCTTTGCCGTGGCAGTCACCTGATGAAACACATTATTCAGAATACCGTTCAAAGCTTCGCTGTAGGGTTGTATTATCCATTTGTGTACTTTTGGGGCGCCTCATACGTGCTCAGTCTTTTTTTCTTGTAGCAAGTTTTGGGGGGTTTACATTCATCACCCAAATTTAGAAGGTCGAGTATCAGTGGCCAGTTCGTTTAGTTGACAAGGCAAGCGAATAAATGAATTGCACTCACACACTATTTTTGAGCGAGTAGACCAGTGAGTGATCCGGTTAGTATACTATAAGAATTGCGCGTGAGTGGAGCTGAGCTTCAACCTGTTTGGCACTAGATGTCGTATGTAATTGACCGTTTATGGCTGATTGAGCATTATGTTTCGGTTTCTAGATGCACTGAAATGAAGGAAGTGGGACAGACTAACGAAGACTTATTGTTTGAAACTGACTGAAACTTGTGCCGATAATGGTGTAAAATGAATAATTCCATACCTGCATCTGCAGTTAAAGTAGGATATGTCTAACTTGCCAGCTACTGAAGATGTTCATACCCAAGACGTTTGAAAACGCACTTGAACGACGTATATGATCTTGTTTTGAAATTACTGGTGTGCGGCCAGCCTTGATTATGGGGCCTGTCGAAACATACAAACGAAAATAAGTAATCTACTACTCATAGGGTTGCTGAAAACCCGTGGACAGCCCATGACCAATTTCGCTATTCTTGGGGCTCATCAGGTAGGCGTAGTCTCCGAGTTTCCGTTAAACCTGTGTTCTACTTGAGCACTCCGCAGTATGATCGCTGGCTGGCAATCGTTCCGGGTACTTTGAACCCAAGTTGGAAACGACTTCTATGGACTTGTGTGCACCTAGAAGCCCCCTGCGCCAGTGTGTTAGTTCATCGGTACTGGTGATCACCCATCCAGCTAATATTTAAGCGATCGACCTCCATTGTCGTGTGCTATGACATGTGTACAAAAACTCCCATTTTCCTTGCAGCCAATTGTCATTAAATCGAAAACAGGACATAAAAGGTCAGTTTCACTGCAACATTCCTTGTTTGAAGGCTGAGGATCAGCAATTCAGACTTAAATTATGTGTTGCGCACCCGTTTCATTTTGCTTCCTAGAATGCCTTTTTCCTCATGTTTTAAGCACCGATCAGCTCGATACCTCATTTGTACCATGGCGTAAAATTGGCATCCAGTGTTAAGAATAGTTCGAACATGCATCACCTCCGTCTGACTGAAAAGTTGTTCCACACTTTTCTCTGTGAAACAGAGCAGCATAGCGGCACAGGTGATAGTGCATCACTCTTTCGGTGTCTAGCTGCCCCGCCACACAAGGAAGGCGCGAGGGCTGAGATACTGCCAGGCTGCTCAAGCCTGGAGAGCGAAAATCGGGAAAAAGAGGTCGGGTTCGAACCACGGACCTTCCAGTCAGAAAATTCATGCTCTAACCACTTGGATCATCTCGCAGGGGTGATAAAATTCGCATTGAAACTGGTGATGACCACGCTTTATACCTGTCACTTCGTTCGACGTACTTAAGGTCTTATCATCGTTTAAAAGGAGAAGAGTGAAATGAATGAGGCATGGTACACGATCGGCTTATCCAGGAGCTATCGAAATGTGCCTCTTGGAGAATTAGAAATCGTGCCAAACTCATAGTTTTATTACGTACTGGCCGAACCTCAATTAGCTGGGAATAGTAAAGTAAAGTTTGAAATATTAAGTTAAAATAACAGTTATTTATGGGCGGTCTTCAATCACCGACGAATAATGCAATTCAGTGTGTAGAAGGGTGCACATCTATCGTTCCTTCCGCTCGCACACGTTGAGCTGTTTGTGTCTGGAATAGTTGTAAACGAAGTTGCAATCAATAACCGTGGCCAAAAAGCAGAACAAGTTCTAAGCAATTTTACATTTTCAATAACTTCTCGATGTTATCTGAAATTCTGTTGTGTATTGTTCTAAGGATAAAATCAAGAAAACGCATGGCGTCCAGAAAAACGTAAGCATCTACTCCGTGGTTAAAATGGATGGGTGAAGTAACATGGAACGGTGCTGAATATGACTCCGTTTCGTCAATCTTCTTTGACGAAAAGAGATGGGGTCCTGTAACAGGAAAAGGTTTTGGGGTTCAAAAGACTGACAAGATCGTTCTTCTTTGTAGCTATGGTTGAAGGCGATTACTACTCATACAGTTGCAAGTGTAAAGAACACGTTTAGAACACGACTAAGAATGTCCTGGAATATACCGGAATACTATCAACGATCCCAAACGCTGGCTTATCAACACCAAAAAAGACTAGATGACTTTAACGCCAGAAATGTAGGCTTAGACAAGGCACCTCAGTTAATGAGGCACGGACGGTCTCGAACTTATTGATTATCCGCTATGAAGTGGCTGGACAAGCAACCAATCAACCTACGTCTTCTGTCCATGTTGGGAAATTGGTTGCACGTGACCTCCGGAAAGACTTCAATCTGCTCAACATCAGGAAAACACGAGCTATTTACCACCTTTACATGATGAAAATACACGGTATTCCAGCTTTGTTTTCCCATAACTGTTTGACTGAGCTTTGTTGCGTGCAACGTATTGGGTCCATCGAGAAATAACTTAGTGGAGAACGAGGCCTCTGCAAAACTTCTTACGTGCATGCCTTTAAAAGACATCTGTACATTAGATCTTAGAAAGTAGAAATATAAAATTATGAGATATAACAACGGTACCGAGTAGTCGTTTCGTGAGGGAAGAAAACCCTTTCCCGCCAAGTCGTTCATTAGCAGATGTCAAATAAATGGTTACAAACTATTGGGCAGGAAAGTAACTATCTCATATGCATCTTGTTTAAAAAACAATGAACATCCTCACATGTTTTCCTCAACTTTCGTGGATATTCATTGACCATCACGCATTTGTGAACGAACGCTGCACATCAGTTCTATAAGTTCCGTAATAACCCACCTCTTCCACTAGATGCGAGGCCGAGGTAACAGAAAACTACAAACTACTCGTATGCCTCATCGGCAGTATACGTCGTTGCTGTCAAATTTGCCTAAAAGTGTACCGACAGATGGACCAGTCATCAGTTGATACGACAAGATCGTTTGCTGTGTCGCCATTTAGACCGCCAGGGTGTTTCCACGCAGGTTTAGTGCGAACATGCCTTTTTGGTCAGAGGTTTACTAGAACCAGGAGTGTAGATTTCTGAAGATCCTCAATACAGTTGAAATGTCTCTCGTCTGGTGTGAACCGCATGTGGCAATTAAGTGGTTTCAATTAGAGACTTGGGTGTTAAACGTTTGGAGTTATGAACTCATCATTGTTTATTTTTACTGTTGTAGGCTGGACGGTTTTAACAAAATATTCTTTGATTAATTTCGAACGAATAAATCCGTGGTAACTGATAAACTCTGCTGCACGTTATACCTTCGGTCTTATTACAAAATTACACACAGACCTCCAATTTCCTGTTTGCAGCGCAGAATGGCGCCGTATACATTCGAATTGTACATTCAAACAAATAAACAACAATTCGCAACTACATTGAGACAGTCCTATTGACTGACTAGGATCTTCCCATCCGAGGGGACCGTGTTGTTTCGGCCGGCGTCGTAGGTTGGCCGTCTAGGCAACCAGTGTTTCAGAATTTACTAGAAAAGTGCATTTTACTTGGAATGAAAACAGAATGCTTGGCGGTTAAGGTCAGCTCCTCCGGCTGAATCCGATGCTCATGTGTCGTACTCAGTACCGAACCATGCAACCTTGGCCGACGCGCGACACGCATGACACTTTGACAAATAGGCTTAGAGATGGTCAGTTGAGATGTGTGAGTCAACACTGTACCATTTCGAGTCAGTGATGAACGAGATCACTCTAATGAAGCTCATTTGAGTGACCATTCATCCAGACATACTTAAGTAAGTCTTCAATTCAAATCAAACTGTACCATTTCGAGTCAGTGATGAACGAGACCACTCTAATGAAGCTCAGTTGAGTGACAATTCATCCAGACATAGTTAAGTAAGTCTTCAATTCAAATCAAATGAGGATAGATTGTCGGGTGATTTATTTTATCGTTATAAACCACCGTGCATACTTCATCATGCTGTTCGCATAGCATGGTCAGGTCGCTGTTGATTTGCGTACTGAGGAAGAGAAACGTCGTGAAAGCATTTACATCCGGTTAAAAGGTGGTTTACGCAGAAGAAGCGGACATGGTAGTACGCGGTACGGATGGTTAGACAAACCTGTCTACTGCTTCAAGCGGCTCATTCGCAAGCATGAGACTAGGGTTCGAGCCTAGCCAGTCTTGTAATAGCACTTTACACCGCAGGTGTCAAACGCACGTCGAACCGTGAGGCGGAACTATTTAGGTTATTCATTACTGTTTCCAGTACCACGAGGTTAGATCCAAGAAGACCTATGTGCTCTGCGTACTCGATGTCTGTGAGCGGACAGCCCGGAAGTACTTCGACTCCACAGGCATGAGAGGCTGATAGTGAGTCTTCCCTATCAATAACGAGGTTAAAGAGAAAAGGCGAAAGGGAACAGTCTTGTTTGATCCACTGAGCACAGGCTATACATGACAATTACACAGTTCAGTGAAGGAGTCAGTGCAAGATGACCATCTGTGAATGCACGATTTACTCAGAACTACTAATCACATCTTGCATCCCTTCGACGGACTAGTCTTGCTACAAAGGTCGAGCATTTTTCTGAATTCAGCTACTTGACACATGACATGTGGAGAACGCATCTAGTCAGCTGTGTGTGTCCTAATTACGCTTGAAGAGATACAGTGAGACAGTGAATCCAGTTGTTCGTAGTTTCAGATGTAAATTTCATTGATTCTTGCATTATCCATTGGATATGCAAACCTTTTGGGCGCAAACGTTGGCATTCGAAATTTCAAATGCAGGACCAGAAATTAGGGGACTACAGACGCGTAACGTGAGACAGGCGAATCACCAGTATGATAGGTTCTGTTTGTCAATTCAGGCCCTCTTTTTGTAGTAGGCACCGGATATGTCTGTTCGCGGTAGATTAGCTAGACCGTAGTATTCCAAGTTATCCATTGAATCGTGTCTTGTCCAAGTAAGGGCCAGTCGAATGATGATCATTGGCAGAAAGTCACGGCTTGGAAACTCTCTCGGTTTCGTGAACTGCGTACTGCTGATGATCCCTGACAACGAGTGAAAAGCTGTCCGGTAGTCAGAGTGGTGCCCAGCGAATTTTTCGCTCATTGTCTACAAAGCGTCCGATTTTGATCGGCACAGTATCACACAATTACAGCAGCTAGTGGCATAGATTCACACGATAGCCGTTAGCTGTCTTGCTATGAGGAAAGCAGTCTGCAAATTGGCGTTTAGAGACTTGAGGAGGATATGCAAAAAAACTGCCGACGAAAAGCGTACTGCATCCACTCTTATGCGAATCCGTTTTGAAATGTTCTATTGGGCTCACTCAAGCAGTAAAGTGTAATCAGGTTCCGGACAAGGGTTGCTAGGAGACAAAACGTGGACTTCATATTCCCTTGAACTCTATTAGTGGTTTGGTTTCAACCAAGTCGGGGTATATGGATAAAAATTCAGTCAGAAAAACGTGAATGTAATCCAAATAAAACCTTGAACTTACGTCAAGGTGTACCGGTCCCCGCTTCATCGGTTTCGAAAAGATCACGAGATGTATCTTCACTTTCACGTTCAGTTTGGTGGCGCGTTAGGCGGACGTCGATTCGACGATCCTCCTCTGACGAAAAGCTTGAGCATCTTGCTTGCATCTTTCGTTGTTTTTTGATGCGCTGCTTTTCAGTCTGGGCGCGCATCTGCCACCAAGTGTCTGAATACACTCGCCACAGTAAGGCTGGGAGATTGGCCACAAACACGGAGATTGGAAGGGAGAACCAAAACGCCGGCGAGTGAACTATTTTGAAATAGGTCTGAAAGTCCAGGTCCGACGGAGCCACAGAAAACTTGATTCGAATGGGATGAAAAGAGAAGAAAATACGGGGATTGACTTTTGGACTGAGAAACCCACATAGGCTTTGAAGGACAGGCTGCTACTAATCTGGTTTTAACACAAGACTCAAATGAATCTGACGGAATGTGTCGTTTGTGATGTTTTTCTGTTTATGCACTTTCAACAACTGTCTAGGTAAGATGAGTTGCTAGTTCACACTGGCGTCGAAGCTCTCAAGCTTCCCCGTGAAGTTTTTCGTCTGTCTTTGTTGATAAGACGCGAAATCTGATCAACAATTTCCAGGTGAACTTAACTCACTAGTTGTGATTACGAATGGTTTCAAACTGCGAAGTGTTCTAACCAACTTCCTTATTTCATAGAGGCAACAGTAACGGCTTTGTCGACTCAAAACTCACCGTTTTCATCTTCCCACTCTCTGTCCACATATATGCTATCTGTCCAAACAATTTGAATGCACAGTTTCGTTCGAGTATGAATCAGCCACGAAGTTACTACCCTCAAGCTTATTCAATCTGACCGCTCCATAATAAAGTCGTCACATGCTGTGGCAGTTTCATTGAAGTGACGGAACGTATTAAAATACGTTCTGTTTGGTTGCTTTCATTTTGTTGTCGAGTAGAACTTCGAAGAATACCCATATATAACATTCCAATCACCATGCAAAATAAAAAAAATGACATGAGTTGATGGTGTACTGATCGATCATCTTTGGTGAAACTGGTCATGGGCTGTCGTAGAACTTTCAGCAACCTTATCAGTAGTGTGTTACACTTCATCTTTGTTTTGATTGAGACCAGGGTGTACATAGTAGATTGCTTTGAACCACACAACTCAAAGTGGACTAATCTTGGTAACTGGTATATCTGCAGTGGGCAATCGCCTAAAATTCAATTGGAATTCTGATTGACCCCAGGTAACCAAGCAATCGGAGCTTACTCAGACAGTTTCTCTAACAATGACATTGAAGGAGGCTAGGTGCCGAACTGTTTCAAATGGTTCGGGGCTTTGCGATCCCGTGCACTTGACTGGTATAGTGGATCAAACACTGTAAATTGTGTGGGGCTTACGTTCAATCACTGCTAGCAACCGACGAGGAAAGACAATAACCCTTGTGTGAATTTTTTAAGCCGGGGTGTTACCGGATATCCTGTTTCCCAAGACTTTGTGTCGAAACATTGGCCGTTGATCTATTCAACAAGCTTGCCAACTGGTTTGCAAGCATTTAATCCGCAGTCCAAGAGACATCGTCAGTGAGCAGTTGGGTGTGTCTCACTGCGCTTATATAGTTGTTTGAGAGTATCTAATGTCCCTTCATGTGATTGGCTAACTGGTATACACCTTACAATATCATTGGTCCAATCACGATTTGCGTTCTATTGTGGTCTGTATATGTCGTATTCCATTAGTTGGCTGGAAAGGCTCAATTCGGTCGTTCTATGTCCATTTTCCGTTAGTCTGATCCCGGTTTGTGCTATGCTGGGGTCTGTCTTCCTTCAATTTAGTTAGCTGAGTTGGCGATTTCCGTTTGTCGTAGTTACAATCCTTCAATCTGATTGGCTGGCGTCTTCGTTTCATCTCCTTGAGGTTAATTTGCCTCTTGTTCCCTGTTTGATGCATTGTTTCTATCTCATGTTTCGCCGATTTAGTTTTAATTTGATGACCAGGTTATTCAGTCGTTCTATATCCTTTTTCGATTCGTTGGTTCAATATTATTCCTGGAAGGTAGATTAATCCCAAAGATTTTCTTTTAGTTCACCTGCCTCTTCTACATCCGTTCATTCTAGTTTGTTATCTTCTGTAGTTCCGCAGTTCTTTCGCTTACAGTAGTCAATGGACTGAGTTTTTGATGTCTTTTTCAGTGGAGTGCCATGCACCCATGGATTTGCTTCCTCCCCATATTCATGCCCGGACCCACTTGTGAAGGTTCTTTCAGTCAAATTAGACGGGGCTAATCTATACTGAAGAGCAAGGGAATGTTGTGCGGCTCTTCCACCCTATTGGGAACTAGCAGCGAAAAGAAGAGGGCCTTTGCTGCGCAGTCATTCGTTGGAAAACACCAACTGAACCGTTACAGACTATTGGACAGGGAAGCAAAACTCTCGTTTATAAAAACTGAGTCTTCCTAGAATTTCCAGCAGACTCATCGGCTATCCTTCAAATGTAAACAAATGCTACAAAGTAGTTTCACAAATTCCATAATAAATCCCACTTTCCAATAGATGCGAATCGGATCTACGAGAAAACCACATCCTACTCGCATGCCTCATTAGTAGTATCTACTGTTACAACAGCAGGTCCCATATCACAACAATCTTGCGAATTCCGTTAACATGGGTGCAGCATATCAGCTGGTGATGTGTCGAACTATCGTTACCTCGAGTGAGCTTATTGGTTGCCGATCAGGTGACGTTTGATTTGTTCGCCGGGTTTGCCAATCTATTTGCAAACGTTTCGTCACCATACGAGGGAACACCATCAGAAACTTGCCATCCAACTGCGCACTGATAATCTCTCCTAGTATGTTGACGAAACGCTCTCGAGTCAATTGCCAAGCTTGGCGAACAGGTTAACAGTCACTCACAAGGTTGCTGAAAACTCTTCATCGAAGAGTTTTCAGCCACCCTGTGAGTAGTTTCCTTCATGAAAAAAGGATGACAAGAATTTTTATGATCAGAAGCCACATAAAAGAGGTTTTGTATGCGAGTGTTGGCACTTTCTTTCTGTCTACGATGGTTGTCAGTACGCACGTGGAAATTGTGAAACTCTGTTATTCCCTTGGTGAAAGTGCCACCACTGCACTTCGTGGGTACAAAATCAAACATGGTCTCATTAAAAAGATCCTTTCACCGTGTCGACCATTACACGCTTGATTGCGACATTCAAGTCCACTGGATCTGTAATGGATTTTCCTGGCAAAGGGCGGAAGTTTCTGTGTGATGAAAGAGCGCCCGTTGTACAGAATACCGTCGAGCAACTTCAGTCCCAGAGCACCATTACATCTTCGTCAATAACTCAGGTGTCTCAGTTGACCGGCATTCCCCGCGCCAGCGTGCATCGTAATATGAGACGCCACCTTCATCTCTACCCGCATCATTTCACTTTATTACAAAACATCCCGGAAGAAGACAAGGAGCAACGTACCGCGTGTCTCACATCTCATTACGCCTCCAACTTGTTATGGAAGAAATAGGCTGTTTTTCAATAATTTTGTCATGTCAGTTTGTTTGCAGTAAACCTCCATAATGCATGTGTGTCCGTATAAAAAATGACTAACGTGTAAATTACTGTTAAGGTGTTAACTTGAATATTATTTTTTGCTTTTATTATGAGACATTCTGTATATTAGTTATCAGCTTCACCTTAAACGTTGTTGAACCCACCGTTTCCCAGTGCGTGAGAACAGCATGCTTGCTTGATGCCTAATCTGTTATGTCCGTTCCATATGTAGACGGCTTTGTGCGCGCTACACGGCATCAGTAAAGTACACCAATATACGTGTACTCAACATTTCCATTCAACTGTGCTCCGTCAGTAGAATTTAACCAGTGAGTGGTTGTCCCCATAAGACGATGAATACAGCTTTATGAACTCATTGACAAAGAAAACACCCGTGTAGCGGTCTGTTTCTCACGCACAAGAATTACATCAACCCTCGGTACATTTACTTAAAATGAAGCGATGATAGAAAGTCTCTAAATTCAGATGATTGCAATAATAGAATGTGGTGTGAAAAAGAGATGAAACGCACTCAAAAAGTGAGAGCTCAGTTTGAATGGGCATCCAACTAGGAGTAGTGAAAAAGATCCGCCGAGTTCCGATTCCTCTGTTTTTGCTAGAAAAATGAAAGTTTAGTGAAGATGTCCAGAAGTTTGGGCAATGATTTAATAAATCTGGAAATCTGAAAGTTCCAATCAAGTGCTCGGAGAACTATGTCTGGAACGAAATCTATTATTTTTTCACTGGGTGGATCATCAAAGAAATTCGAATGTTGATCAATAAGTTCCCCAGTTTCAGATTTGTTTTTTTGGTCAATTGCAAGAAAGAAAAGCTGTGATGCAGAGGGGAATCGATTAGGTCTTCAACTGATCAATGATAACTGGTCATCAATATTACTTTATTGTAAATTTTGTTTATTTATTTACTTTATTAATATTACCTAACATTACCTGGTAAAACATGAGAAACAGCAAGTAGGACAGCAGTGTGAAGAGAATGGAACCAAATAGTGGCCAATTTAGATCTCGCGATGTGAGAACCACTCGAAGGTTGACGCTGATCACGGCGTAGACGAGTGCAGACCCTCCACAAAGACTGACGTCGAAATAGGACCCATGTGAATCGGGATCGATGAACGTGGCTTCGGAGAACATTCCTCCGCCGGCCAGAAACCAGTAGACACTGTAGAATATCACCGTTCCGTGCCATATGCCGTCAAGCACAAAGAGCAGGAAACGCCACAGACGAAGATTTGCGTTTCGGGAAATCTGAACCAAGAAATAAATTTCAACATACGCATAGGTTTTATTCTTACTCATCTGGGGGTGCGGATTGATGACAGTAAGGGAAAAACAAACAAACAAAAGCTGTTGTGGTGCAGCCATATCCATCGGAAATTGCGGGTTATTCCTTCAACTTAAAGAATTCAGACGAGCTTCACTAGTACCTGAACGTTCACGATCAAGCGTTCATACCCAAATAGACTCAGTAGCTCGAGAAATACACTAATTTGCAAATTCATTTGGTTTTCACGTGAGACTCAACTGAATCTCTCGTGTATTATATTCTACAACTGAATGTGCTGCAAACTGGCCGCCTCATGTTTCAGTTGGCACGATATTCGAGATATGGCAGTATATTTTCATAAAGGAAACTACTCACAAGATTGCTGAAAACTCGTCGACAGCCCACGACTGGTTTCGCCCTTCTTGGGGTTCATCAGGTAGGCGCAGTCCTCGAGTTTCCGTCCAACTTATTTTCTATTTGAACCCCAACCGGACTGTTTTCGAGAAATACACTCATTTTCAAATCAATTTGGTTTTCACGAGAAACTCAACTGAATCTCTCGTTTATGATATTCTACAACTGAATGTGTTGCACACAGGCCGCCTCATGGCTCAGTTGAGACGATAATCGAGATATTGCAGTATATATTTTCTCCCATATGGGAATATTGATTGATGACAGTGAAAGAAAAACAAACAAAAAAACGTTTTGTGGTGTACAGTGCAGCCACATGCATTGGAAATTGCGGCTTATTCCTTCAACATAAAAAAGTTTCAGATAAGCTACCAGTATCAAAACGTTGATGATCAAGCGTTTATACATGAATAAAGACTGAGTAACTCGTTCTCGATGCCAAGGAAGTTTTGATTGCATGACCGAATGCATTAAAAAGGACATAACACACTCAATTCAACCTAAATTAGCCCAAACTTCGTCTCATGCGCTTTTCAAGTCCTGGAATGCAACCCCAGAATAGGCAGACGTAGGAGGACAACTAACCAGTTTCCCGTTTTTGACTAACGCCTCTGCTTCTACCTGTGTATAGATACTAAAAAGCCAACGGTTATTTAAATTGGCGTATTTGAAAATGAGCACGAACTGTGTGTTTTTTGCAAACATCCATGTATTTCCTCACCTTGGACTAAATAGGTGACCGTAAATCACAAAAGCGGTTCTCCGGGGAGAAAGGGATCAAATAAAAAGAAATGGCCCCGAAGAGAAAGCAAAATAACCAACTTTCTCTGTCATCTTCTCGACGAGGGAAGTGTTATATCTTTGTAGGTGAACAAGAGTGCTGTTGTGACCAGTTTCAGGGGGACTAGATCCTTACGGTTTACTGTGCACTGCTACAGGTGAAAGGAAGAAGGCCTTCGCGGCGGAGCTATTTACTTGAAAATGCCAACTCACCGGTTACAGACTATTGGACAGGGATGCAAAACTCTCATTTGCATCTTATTTACAAAAACTGGACATTCATCTTCTCCTGAACGCGTCTTCTTGAACTTTCCTGGATATTCATTGACTCCAATCATTCCTCGCTCAAATCCAAGCAAATGTTACAGAACGACTTCACGAACTCCGCAACAGATTTCCCTCTTTCAAGAGACGCAAAGCGGAATTCCACGAACAACACATACTACTCGCGTGCCTCCCCATCAGTAGTATGACCGTTACACAGGTACTAGGATTAGCGATAGGACAGTAATCTCTTGTGAACAGTCATTGCAAAACTCTGATGGCGTGATCTAGTAAATTCCACTTTCACCAACTCACAGTCACTGGGAGGAATTTTTGTTCCAGCATTAAGTTCATTACAAGAACGGACAGTTTTTCGGTAAGAAAAACTAATTCCCTACAACACAGCTGACAATAGTGGCCGAAATACAATCGAGGTCAAGTGATATATCACGAAAAAATGTTGGTGGCAGAAAGAAACAACTGAATTTACATAAGACTAGGGGTCACAATATGCAACGTGTGATCAAAAATGACCGAAATCCAATTAGATTGCCTTGTTTGCCCGTGCAGCGAAAACCGTTTAGCTGTAACACCTCAACTACGATGCCACAAGAAGGAAGCATGAGGGCCGGGATACTGCCAAGTTGCCAAAACTTAGACTGGTTAAGTCGAGAGGCAGAGGCCGGGTTCGAACCACAGACGTCCCGCTTTAACCACCAAGCCATCTCGCCCACCCGTGCAGTTGAAATCGCACGATGGCTCGGATTGACAAACCGGGAATTAGTATATCGAACGCGCCAAATCGATAGTCTCTGGATTGTTCTATAAAGAGTATTTGTTCTAATCAATATATCATAGGATGAGTGCAACCATCGGATATATCCGACCACAACCGCATCACCTTGTCTGAGGAAATCAAAATTCAACCTTTAGTTGAAACAAAATACCAATAGCTTGAATTTTGTAGTTGCAACCAGCAACCTCAATGTATTTTCAAGGTCATTGAGAAGAGGTCAAACCACCTACCAATCGATAAAGTGTTGGGTTCTCCAACAACTGGTCATCTGTCAGGGGCCTTTCAAAGATTCCGAAAAAGAATATGGACAAGGCTGTCACGGGTGCATTGTAAAGCCCGTATACGATGCTCGAGCACCAGGTGGTTGCAGAAAATCCGGAATAGAAAACAACCAGCAAATTGATCATCACCCATGTGACGCATTTGTGGTAGAACAAGAGGATGGTGTAACTGATCCGATGACAGCACCAATGACCATGGACAAGAAGGAGACGTTGAAGATATCTGTTCAAGTGCCGAAGCGGTGGGGGGCAGGTGAAATCGAGCAAAAGAGATAATCGATAATGACTATGATAACAACGAGACTCAAAGTGTCGTGCTTTAGAGGACAAATGTCAAGGTTTAGCGCAACTGGGGTCAAACGGCTGGAAATGAATACCACTAGAAATAGAGTTTGACAGTGCAGAAGAATGGTAGCAAGGTAATTTACGAACCACCGAAGAATTGAACTAAATGAGACCAGTTATTTTTCCCATACAACACTACTTAATAGATTGACAGAATCTGTTTGAAAGCCTACTGACGAACTTCTGCTTTTTGAGGCTTATTAAGGAGATGGAGAGCATTGTTCATCAGGAATTCTGTTTTGTATTTAGACAGCTCCATTCATTTCCCTCAATTAAGGAACGGAATACATCCTAGTTTTAAGCAAAAAATAAGCAAACTTTGAGTCGAACATTGAATTTAGAGGGTCACGTGAAATTCGATTTACCTCGGCTTCAATTCAACTCATAAGTATGAACACAAACCGCGTGGAAACTTCAAGAACTTGGGTATTTTTAGATGTCCGAATGAACGAAATAACCCAGTTGCATCTATCACAGTTAGAAGCCTGGAACTATTGACGTACCCGTTAGTTTTTTGCGGCAAGGAGTGAATGTGGTCAGCTCCCCCTCCCCGCACGAGGGACGATGAACTTCCTATTTTACGTTGATAAGTGCGACAGAAGTCCACTCTCCAAATGCGGTCGAATCTCCTACCACTGCTCCATTATTTCAATGTTCATCTAAGCCATTATGGTATAAAGATCGACACAGAGACAATTTGCATGAAGTTGTCGGAATACTTAGTGGATTGGGCCTTCATTTACAGTGAGTAGCTTGGTCTGAGCCCCATAATTTTCAAATTACAAGAGTAAGCGTCTCATGACCCTAAAACATTGTCTCAAATTATCGGCATCAACATGCACGCTCCAGTTATCAGTCGTCTCTAAAATCTGCAATTCTCCACTTTGAGAAATTATTTTGGAAAAATTAGGGGCACTTGTTTTGAAAGCCGCGGAATTTGCAGGATTCTTTTAAGAACTACCACCACCCGTAAAAAGCAGGCAAAAATGTGTTGTTTCATTAAGTTTCTACCGCCCTGTATTCCTGACGTTGATGATCGTTCGCAGCAGTGTCCAGTGATGTCCTATCGATCGAACCAAAGTCCAAGTCGATGGTCCAGAAAAGCCGGTTTCTCATGACATGATCGTCTGATGATATGAACTGTTTGACTAAATTACTAGACGGCCTTCATCGAGGGACTGAATCAACGAAAATTGGAAACGTTCCTAAAATTAGACTAATCACACTTGGGATCAACATCCGCGGTAAATCTCATGTATTGTGCAATAAATACGAGCCGTTAGGCCACCCGCCTGTTTAAAGCCATTCAGCTGTCAGTCCCGCTAAACATCCTTTCCCCTAAAGACCGGATCGCACGGTGGTAGGACGGTTTTTGTACCTCCGGATCAATTAAGCTATACCCGGGGGGGTCCCGCTACACTCATAGAGTCTCTCACTGGTCAGTGGTTGAAGATATGACCAACACAGTCTAATGGCCTTCCAATTTGGCGGTTGGAACATCTGTAATGGAAGTGTACTTGCATTTCCAGGCAAACACCTGTGCCTTGCCATCGGGCTTATGAGCCACTGGACCACCTAATCGTCCTCCTGTCTAGGTTTTGAAGCTCTGGCAGTGCCCCAGCCCACGGAAAACCATGATCGTTGCGAACAACAATACTGTCTTGATACGTCGGCTGTCGAGTGATGCCATCGGCCGGATCACTTTACTTGCTGCATACAGAAGGGCGGATTAGAGAAAGCGGGCTACTGCTGACACCTCTATTCTTCCTGCTTCACATAGCTTTTTTCACTCGTTCTAATGAGTATGTCATTTTAGTATTACTTCAGTGGTGATATTCGGGTGCTCTGAAAAAAGCAATGTATTGAATGGTGATCGTCACAATCAAATATCGATGGATTCCCAGAAAATCAATTAACTTCCAAAAAATGGGATACCAACGCAAAAACTATCAGGAATAACTATGTCTAGTCATCTAGAGTTCAATTAAAAGGAGTGAGGACCCCAGATTTGGATACCCTGGCTTTGATGCCCCGCGTTCTTTAAATTTCAGAGGCCAAAATATTCCAGGGTTAGAATTTCTATCACATTTCACAGGTTCTACATTTTCTCTCTGAAAATTATTTGACACTCAAAAGTGGTGCCATATTTGTATTCGTTCCAAAACTTTGGAAGATTGCATCCAGCAGGATATCGAGATAGGTTTCGGGGTAGTACAACGTACAACGAAATACACTTATTTGCAAACAATTTTGGTTTTGCTGAATCTCTTGTTTACGACTTCCCTATGCAACTGAATTTGCTGCGTAAGGCCGCCTCATGTTTCTGTGCGGATGATATTTGGGATATCACGATACAAGCATAGACGTATTACACTACTCATAAGGCTACTACTGAAGAAACTTATAAGTAGTGTATTCCTGTTCTTTGTACGTTTTGAAATTCAATCCTTGCTCGACTGATATTTAACCCGACAAAGAGAATGCCCCATGATAAATCTGATTGCTATTCCGAAAACACGCTGTTTGCAGGGTTATTCTGAAATTGCCACAAATCATAATCAATTTTTGTGAAGTCTTTTTCATTATACAACGATGGGAGAGAGTGCAAGAAGGTTTGTGGTCTAGTTGTTTGCTTTGGTTAGAAAGAGTGCAAGAAGGTTTGTGGTCTAGTTGTGTCGTATCAGTTTACCGTTTGCTTTGGTTAGACTGCCTACCCTTAGCGTGAACTGAAGGTGGATAGGAATCATGTGATTCTGTCGGAGACCTCAATAGTTTTGCTGTGACCGCAGCGGTTTCACAAAGGTCTACTTCGAAATTTACGGTGCTACACGAGAGCTAATTACTGATAGCCCAAGACGGGGGTACGGCTCCAAAGTCTGCTGACAGCCGTCAGTGGTTTATTGATGTTGAGATTAAACGTAGACGATCGATCATTACTTCATCTACCACATTTTGACTTAACTTGGGTACAAACTATGTGCCGGAGCACACGGCAAATCCTCTTTACCGTTCAGGTTTCTTGTCCTAAGCACTAACGAGGACTCCATCAATCGTATATTAACCCATTGGTGGAAGAACTACAAGTCGTGCTAATTCAATCAAAATTCACGTACATGCTCAACTTCAAACCAGTAAAGCCAATTAGTTCAATAAAGGGTATTTAGGGGGTATATGCTCATTTGCAAACTGATTTGTTTTTTTTTCGAGAGAGACTTACCTGAAACCCACCTCAATCTCTCGTTTGCGATGTTCTCAGGCAACTGAATGTGCTACACCAGATGGCCTCGTGTTTCAGTCGCTACGATATTCGAGATGTCGTGATACATGTATATCATTGTAATGTACTACTCACAAGGTTGCTGAAAATCCATCGACAGCCCACGACCGGTTTCGCCCTTCTTGGAGCTCATCAGGTAGGCGCAGTCCCCGAGTTACCGTCAACCTAATGTTCTACTTGAAACCGAATTGCACGAAATTGTCGAAAATACACTCATCTGCAAACTAATTTGTTTTTTCGAGAGACTCACCTTGAACCCAGCTGAATCTCTCGTTTGTGATGTTCTCAGGTTAATTTCACTAATTTCGCGCAATTCGGTTTCAAGTAGAACATAAGGTTGACGGAAACCCGGGGATCGCGCTTACTTGATAAGCCCGGTCGTGGCCTGTCGACGGGTTTTCAGCAACCTTATGAGCAGTACACTACAAAGGTATTTAGAGGGCTTTTAGTGAACCACCCGCTGTTTGAAACTCAGCCTAAGCACTAAAGTATCTAGGAGTGTAGTCCATCCCGTGTATCGTGGCATCCGAACCAAACGTTTTGATGTTTTATGGCCTCCGTTGACCAGTGAGGATGATATTGGAGTTTTTTGTGCATGCCACCAACACGACAGAAGCACCCAGCTAGGTTCTTTGTAAGCAATGTGAGCAGGTATTTGAGGCAGTGGTATTAAGAGCTACCTAAACAGTCCCGTTGGTTTGGTCTGCACTTAGCAGTTGAACAACAGTATACGAGCAGTAGTACAAATCTCCCTCAAGTAGAGGAGAAGAGGGCCCACCAATTGAAGCAAACGACCCATGTAACGGTGGATACTACTGATGATGCGTGCGAGTAATATATCTTCCCGTAACTACGCTTTGCGTCTATTGGACGGTGGGATTTATTACGTGATCCGTGGAATCGCTTTCATGTCCAACAGTTGTTCATTTGGTGCGTGCGAGTAATATGTCTTCCTGTAACTACGCTTTGCGTCTATTGGACGGTGGGATTTATTACGTGATCCGTGGAATCGCTTTCATGTCCAACAGTTGTTCATTTGGTGCGTGCGAGTAATATGTCTTCCTGTAACTACGCTTTGCGTCTATTGGACGGTGGGATTTATTACGTGATCCGTGGAATCGCTTTCATGTCCAACAGTTGTTCATTTGGGCAGCAAAGGTCTCTTCCTTCCACCCATATGGTTGCTGAGATCCCTTACGAAGAAATTCCTTGTTAATATTCCCAAAGGAGAACGGAACTGTCGTGCAAAACAGTAAACATGTAGGCAGGACATTATCTAACCAACGCGGTGTCTGATGTCACGCGCCGTGGTTGTCTGAAGCTACAAAGCGTCAAACGATAACTTTTTAGGTGCTATATAGCTAACCGTTCTACTCTGGAAGTTCTAATCGTAATCTTCTAGTCACAACAAGCCATAGTAGTAGAATAATCTGGATGAGTAGATGAGACAAACTTTTGGATTTCGGATAGCATTCAGGCAACCTACTTTCCGAGATTTGAATAGCAGAACACATAGGGTCCACTATGTCCAGTGATTTGCAGTAAGCCCTGTACTTTCAAAGGAACTTCCACAGAAATTTCCCGATGTCAAATGGAGAGTAATGCTTCAGAGCATATCGCGATTTGCTGACCAAAAATGTACTTCATTGAGCTAGATTCCTGCAGTCAGTATCTGTGACACATTGCGAGAAAAAAACACTGTGTAGGCAGTAGTTTTCGTGCAATTCGGTCTGAAGTAGAACACAAGGTTGACGGAAACTCGGGGACTGCACCTACCTGATAAGCCTCAAGAAGGGCGAAACCGGTAGTGGTTTGTCCGGGGATTTTCAGCAACCTTATGAGTAGTGCATTACGTCTCTACATGTATCGCGGTATCTTGAATATCGTATTGACTAAGAAATGAGGCGGCCGAGTACAGCACAATCAGCTGCCTGAGAACATCATAAACGAGAGATTCACCTGGATTTCAGGTGAATCTCTCGAAAAACCGAATTTGTTAGAAAATATGTGTATTTTGTGAAACATTGGTTTTTAACGATAATCAAAGATCAGAGGCCTGGTACTAAATCCATCCATATTCAAGTATTCTAATATGCTTTCGAATACAAAAAAGACTGATTTCCACGTGGAGTCTTTAATCCTATACACTGATCCTGCACAAATGCGTGTGCGTAGTAAGTGGGATGAAACAAACGAGTGAATTCCCGTCTCACCTAAATTGCGGTAGAACAAAGTCTGCGGCGCGAATGGCCTCTTTACCTTCCTCTCCAGCGATCCCAATGCCAACGTTGGCTTGCAATATCATCGATACATCATTGCCTCCGTCTCCCACAGCTGCAGTGACTGGCTTAGATCCGCGGTTCAGTTCGGTCAGACCAACTTGCACCAGCTTCACAACGGATGCTTTTTGTAACGGCGTCATGCGACAACACAAAACGGTAGTGACCTTCATGCACAAATCCAGAAAAGCCATTCTCAGTGAAGGCTGGCGGGTGAAAAGAAGGGTAGAACTATTGATTTAGGCTAGCTTATGCACGTCAAATGCATCACGCGTTCAGAACAGAAATGTACCTGGATAGTTTTCCTACTGCTGACCTCCAAAAGCTTTCGAGTTCTGTGAAACTGCTCAAAAAATGCGAATTTGACGGGTATACTCATGCCGGTTTGGTTTTTAAGGGGAAATCAGATCACAGAATACAAGGGTCCATCAGTAATTCAGAACAACACCAGGAACGAAGTTTTTTTCACAGAAACATCCAAGGCGTCGCTATGCTGCCTCCCTCTCCAACTTATTTGTTCCCGATCAGGTTTCAGACACTTAGTTCTCACTTACAAACGTTCATATCAAAAAGAGGATACCGAGTAAACGAAGTGAAATTGTTTGATGGTGATATGTAGCTGCCAAAGTCGAAAAGGCGACCGCCGTTCATGGGAAGCGAGCCCTGCAACTAAGAAAGTTCGCGTTCTGAAGGCCGTAAGAATTAGTTCGTTTTCCACACTCTCGTTAGTCAAGAATTGTAAAATGGTTAAAGTGCAACAACTAGAAACTCAAGTTCCTTACGTTGTGTGGTTTGAAACAAGTTATCTCGTTAATAAACTAACGTATCAATCCTAGAATATGCAATCTTTTTTGGTACGTTCTCCCAAAGGATTACTGCTCGTTTTCGTCCGATGTCTTCGCAGCCTTGTTGCCAATGAAACGCACAACCTCTTCTGTGACTAGCAAAAGACCCGACGAATCCAACAACCGGCTAGAATGCTGGAGACGTTAGCGTCCGAACGCAAATGAACGGGGAACCAAGCAACCTACACGCCCCTTAGTTGATCCCACTAGAACTGGGCGTTCAGCATCCCATGAGTTACGTCTTACATGTCATTTACATACACAACTTCGAATACCACAAACTTGCCAATTAGTTGGTTGATACTTTGGGGCCCACTTGAGGCAACGTACTATTTTGTTCCACAGAAAAAGGACATATTTCGGTCGCTAGACATTCTGAAGCCCATTGCTGACTATTCAGATGTGTCATTTCACACACGACGTTTGATTTCGCTTTGAAGTTTTCCGGCTAGATCCTGACCTGGATTTTGATGAGAGACCCAACTAAACCCAGTCGAATCTTTCGTTCATGCAGGTCTCTTTCAACTGGATTGCTCGTCGAAGAGTTTTCAGTCACATTATTAGCATGTTACGTGTGAATGGGGGCGAGATGGCTAATTGGTTAGAGCGCAAATTTACTGAACGAAAGGTCTGTGGTTCGAACCCGACTTCTGACTTCCCCTGTCTAGGCAGTATCCCAGCCCTCGTGTTTTCTTCAGGTGCCATGACAGCTGGGCACCGAAGGGGTCCTACAGCTGAACGATTATCTTATTACGTGTGAATGACTTTTGCTGCATTTAAAAGTATCTAAACACATGCCAAAATTTTACAGTACAGTGAGGAATTTCGTAAACTAACATTTCTGTCAAAATATATGACACACAGTCTACTGGTGATATCACTAGAGCTGTATCCCACAAGTAATTTGTTGACTCCATCGTCTCCGTCTAATCAAGACGAAGGCCAACAGAGGGGCAGTCCAGCATTTGTCCTTACCAGACAGCTGGACATATTAGTACACAGGTGGTAATAACCATAAGACAAATCAGAAGGTGTATGTGCACTAATAGGAGTTTTTCCGTATAAAAATAAATACAATGTGAAATGGGAGCAAGTCAAAAAGGGAACTTATCGGATGCGAGAGTCCCTTGGTGGAAGTCCGGACGGCGGGAACGTGTTTTTCTCCGCAGTTAGACTGCTACACGTACTCCATGGTTGTCCGTGGACTTGTGGAGAGGTTGACTTCCTGCTCCCTGCGCGCGCGCGAGTCTGTGTGTCTTGACTGGGTTTGGTTTCTCTTTATGTAGGTCCCAGTGCGTAAACGTGGGCGCGTCGGCACATGATTGGTCGCTACGCTGACTAGGCGGTGCAGACAATCGATGTCCGATGAGTCAGCTTAATGCGACGTGTTTGTGCGTATGAGAAAAAGACAAGCCTCGCGATCCAGTGAGCGACTGTGAGTTGAACAGTCAGGTGTGTGGGTGACGGGGTCGCTACAGGCACTGATAGTGCACAACGAAATCCCATCTGGGCTTCATTGTCGCACCAATCCGTAAGAATTTCGGTAAATGGTGTACACCCGACTCTTTGGCTGCTGACTGACGCCCTGGTTGCTATGGCCGCCCAAAAGGCATTCGCAGATGGTTGATCTTCACAAAACTGATGAGCATTTGCTCACTGCAGCGGAACTGCGTCTTCCTGTCTATGTCAGACATCCGTGAATATTAAATTCGTAAGCCGTTTCCAAACGGTTTCCAATCAGCCTGTCCTTGACTTGTGCCTACCAGGTTCAAACTATCGGCGGGACCGACCAAGGGACTTGAAAGCAGCGCAACATCGCATATAGGGACTCTGAACCCGGTATCTCAAGAGCAAGGTAACATCGTTAACCCCCAAAACGCTGTTCAACACTTTAGCTTCAATCCACAATCCTACTTGGACGAGTTGATTAGAACATTATTATTCATCCTGTGTGCCTAAAAACTGTTTGAGCCGACCTTGAGTCCACCCAGAACTTGCCTTGCTCAAACCTACGGTTAGATAGGGTCATTTACCGTATGTGGGCCGTTGTCTCTATGCCATCGGCTGTATAACAACGCTTTGTTTTACGTTTTTCACTGCGAAAATACCTGTTCAATTCCTTGGCTTACATTTCAAGCAAAAGAACGCAATAATGAAGGGCACTATGCCATTGTATTAGCCTCTTGAGTGTCAGTAGACACGACAATACAAGGCCCAGTACCTTGACGGTCGCCGATAGCCAATGATACTAACCGGAATATGTGCGTTCTATTTTCAGGTACGTCACGACACACGCTCAACACAGACAGAAGAAAAAATGACCTTAAGAGGATGCATGAAAAAAACATGCGACAAATGAATAATTTCCCAGCGTTTTTTCAGTGTTTTAGACCAGTGAGTATCTGGCTCTCACATTAATGGAAAGGCTGGGATGTACACGTTATGTGGTGCTCATATTAAGGTGAACAAACGGCCGAAAAACTGGTAGTGGTGGTGTCCAATATAAATCGGGTACTCGAGTGTATCTTTCGTGGATCGATAGTTTCGAGTTCACATGTTTGATCGCCGTTATCTTGGTGACAGTGATATCACGTGCCAACAGCGTGTTTGGGTCGGGCTTGTGAGGCCAACCTAGATCAGGTTTCTTGTTATCGACGAAGCTGCCAGATGAGTGTTTTTGACATGACCACCACCGCAATATGCTGCTGTTGATTTGAGCATTCAAAGTGACATTCCTTTTCCGTTGGTTGCGTTGCCAGGGCAGCAGGTGAAAAGTAAAACCACGTGAGAATGTTGTCGAATCAGCGGGTCTTGTCAATGTCTTTGAAGAATCGGCTTTCGTCAGCGACATGCATAACCGTACAGCCGCGAAGGTATATTGTCAAAAAGATCGAGCTCGGTGAGATGATCTACCTCAAAAGACAATTCACGACGTGACACACTACTTTATGGTAAAAGTACACATATTTTTCACTGTACCTAGTGGATATTAACGAATTGGTTATAGACAGTCACGATTACCCTTTCAGCATGCTATGCTCAACAGGCAGCGCTTATGTGCAGTCTAACGAGAAAACGAGTGGTGTAAAATACTCGTCAGGTTAACAGAAGTACTCCACTTACTTGGGGTCTTAAACATCAATAAATTAGCTGTATGCGTGTGTAAGACGCGAAAAATGGTATACATTTGTAATCCTTCTGTCATCATCATCATTGACAGCATGACACCAGTGTTCAACACCGATGCTTCCCTGCCGTATTATGTACGAGGGTTGGGATACTGCCAGGGCGCGCACACCTAGACAGGAAGACGATTAGGGTCCTCAACCAAAGCCTTTGGCTCAAAAGCCTAACCGCAAAGCAGCGGTGTTTGGCGGGAAATGCAAATGCATTACCATTTCTACGGAACAAGTCGCTACATGTTCCAACCCCCAGCCTGCAGACTGTTCGTCAGACCTCTACTCATGGACCAACCTGGTATGAGAGACTCACGGGGACACTCCCCGGTATAGCTCAGCGGATTGCTAAAATGTGCAGAGTCACACCACCATAGGATCCAGTCTCTTCGTGACAGTAAGTCTTCTGTACGGTTCCAACAAAAAGCTGCCTAAATCTGGGAACAGAAGACCGCTTATGGATCTAAGAGTACGAAATGTTAATTGAAAAATTACAAAATCTCGCAGTATGATCAATCCACGGGTGGCTAAGATGAAGACTGACTTCACAACAGGAATGAAACTCCCATCTGAGGAGTCATCACTCGAGGATCCAGTTATTGCGTAACCCAAGGGCGCAGTTTTTGTGATAAAAAGATAACGGACGCTTTATACGCCATCAGAGTGAGAACTGTTCACGTTGCTGTTCAGCCGTTCAAATCCAAACAGATAAGCGTTAAGCCAGAAGGTTACACTTCGGAGTTTCATGAAATTTGCACTGCTGATGATTTCCACCGGGGACGAAACAGCTGTACAGTGCTTCTCGGCTTTTCGGCATAGATTAGCCCCATTGATGGGAGTGAGAATGTAACCTCACTGACGGCTAAATGGTCACCTGGAATTATCGCTAATCTTCAAGAAGCTCTAGACTGGGCTTTCGTGAAATTCTCAGAAATGGCACTCAGCCGCGACTGGCCAGCAGACGATGTCCTCGACCTGAGGTAGCACCGGTTAATTTTGGCTTTGTCCAGAGAGCGGACTTAGTTATCTCCCTAAATGTACAATGACTTCGTAGCCCTCTTTTGAGTGATTGTCAGTTTGAATGGCATCCACATCTCATGCACCGCGGAGAAGTGCTCAATAACCATACACGAGATGGTATAATATTTTAACTCGTAACCTGTTCCCAGTTCATCGCACCAAAAGGTGGCACTGATGACCACACTTTCTAGATGACAGTTTCTAAAGGCCTGCCAAGCTTCAATAAAAGGTAAAACTTACGTGCAACGCGTGCTGCAGACTCACTCCATCGATTACCAATCCGATGGCTTCAGTCAGAGGATTAGTTTTGGGTTGGCCTCGGCATTTCTTCTTTATGCTGGATAAACACGATAAAATCCCGTGTGACGCCACTCTAAATTTTTGCATAAATCTTGTCGTACTCTTTAAACCGTCTTCCCTTATCTCTTCGCCCACCTCAACGTCAAAATCGTTGACAGTCCTGCGAGGGAGAGTTTCGTCCCTGATTGAAGAGTGCTGTTCATATCCGGCATCAATACCGCGTAAATGATTGCAAATACACTCAGCAACTTCGTCGAATTCTCTGAAGCCGGTGATGCGAAGCAGCTTCATTGACTCCGAGAAGTGTCCAGATGACTGGCTTACTGTAACCGCTGTCTCTTCCTTGTCCCCGGTTAAAACCCACACCTAAATGGCAGAGAACGAATACGTCGATGGTTAATACCACATAGCAAAGCTATTCTAAAAAACTATGATTCCCAAAGTTGCTTGTTCTGGGACGAATGACTCTGAACTTCTATCCGAGAAAAAAAAACAATAATTTATTGACATAAGAATGCTGCGAACTTGTGGAGGAGCTGGCTTCTGAGTGACATTCTTTGGGGGGGGACTGACTGAAAGTGTTCTCCAAAGACAGAAAGAAATCTATTTCTCCCACTATTGATGGTGTTCCATCCTCCGCCCCACAACCTCTTTCAGCGTTTACTGTATGTGGGCCAAACTACTTCGGATTTGAAGACCGATTGACATGCGGACAACGCCATATTTTCTTCACTTTGAACTGCTTCTGTCTGTGGTTTGTTGGTATTCGTCACGCCCCTGATATCGTTCGGCGAATCAAATTCATCCTCGGCCTTTGTTAAACATGTTTTTCATCTGCCCGAAATGATCAGTTAGCCAAGCGAAATTAGCTTCCAGATAATGGGTACAGTTTCACGTCCACAATGTTCCGTATTTTGGTTGCGTAGACACTGTCATGACCAAAACTTAGTCACACGAGACCATGTTACCTTATTGTAATTCACGAGGTAAGTTGTTGCGAACAAAAAGTCTTTTTTAGCCGATCGCATAATCGGGATGAACGTCTCGTCAAATTCACAGCCTATTGGTCGGTTATTACCAGTTAGAAGACATACTGTTGTGACACGGTTTAAGTCACGTTTAAATAACGATTTCCTTTGGGAATGCACTCATTTATGGGTTGACTGGAGGTAGAATAAGAGCCAAAACTGAGTTTTTTATTGACTGATTTGTATTCTTCGGTAGGTTTCCATTTTCTTCCTCTTCTGGGGCTGAAAGCCAGTTTACATTAAAAAAAAATGACTTCACCTTTTTAATTCGCGTAGTCTCACGATTTTTGAAACCACCAGGTACAGTAAACCTCCCTCTAGGGCAGGATTCCCCGAACGGTGCTTTCCCTCAGATATCCATTAGAACTATCACCTCTGGAAAAACCAAGCCTATCTCTTTAGAGTGTCCACGACTGTCCCCATTAGAGTGGGTTTCATTCTCACAAAAAGTCTTTCGACACTGTCACCAGTGGGGAAAAAACAAAAATATCATAAATAAGAGATTCAGTTGAGTCTCTCGTGAAAACCAAATTGATTTGAAAATGAGTGTATTTCTCGAAAACAGTCCAATTTGGGTTCAAGTAAAACATGAGGTTGACGGAAACTCGGGAACTGCGCCTACCTGATGATCCCCAAGAAGGGTGAAACCGGTCGTGGGCTGTCGAAGAGTCTTCAGCAATCTTGTGAGTAGTTTCCTACATGAAAATACACTGTCACATCTCGAATATCGTGCCAACTGAAACATGAGGCGGCCTGTGTGCAGCACATTCAGTTGGAGAATATCATACAGAAGAGGTTCAGTTGAGTTTTCGGTGAAAACCAAATTAATTTGCAAATGAGTGTAGTTCTCCAAAAAAACACGTTTCGATGGTTAGCTGACACTTTCCTAATACCGCCTCACTAGTCCATCGTTCTGAACACTCACAACTGTTTAAAATGACTGTTGCTGGTTATGATCTACTGGAATGTAGTCTTTTCGAAGGCTTATACACTAGTGGATACAATGCTTTCTCCCACAGTAAAGCGCCCGCAGAAAACGCTGACGTTTGACTGCCATAGAAGAGAGCGTTTTAGTGAACAGTAGACAGAAAAAGCGGGTTGGAATCTTGGAACAAAAAGCTCAGCATTTCTTTGAGAAGTGGACAATAATGTTGATGGAAGGTGCTGTCAGCACTCTACGTAGATACTATCAGAGAGGAGCGTATTGTGTTAGAACAAACCTTCGGTTGGTAGCTCACTCACACTGTGACCATTGGGGTCGATTGCATAGCATGTCCGGCAAATTCTTCGACAAGTAGAGTCGAATTCGTCTCAGTCTTCGAAGCGCAAAGATTGCAATTGCTCCTCTTTGCCGTAGCAGCTTTCATCTGGTATTGACAGTACATGACTCACCGCTCAAGAATTTCCTCTATGCGAGTTTATAGACGGAAAAAGACCTTCCGTTGGAAGTTGGGCAGGCGCGGATTGGGCTTCAAGTGCTCGAACGTGAGAAAATTTACTCAGGACAGGGTGATTTGAATCCCGTTAGTAACAGATTACGCAACATTTCATCGCTTACTTCTATTATTAGATGAAGATACTGGCGATCAAGCATTCGGAGATAGAATGCAAGTAGCTGACCTCCAAAGTCCAGGTAAAGTTCACGTGAGTCTTTTGTTGTTAGCGTACGGCACTTAAATACTAAAGAATCTGTTACAGGATATCGGAGGTCTGAATTTCGAACCAAAAGAAACCAAAGCGGCCTTTGTTCCACAGGTTCCAACTGGTTTATGGTCAACCTCCAGGGTGGCTCGCATGACACTATGGATTTCACCGTCAGTCCACTTGGGCATGGTATTTAATCAAAGAAACAAAAAGAAACAAACAGATCACAACGAACGCTAACAGATGTTAGTTTCATCAAAAGCAGTGAATCTAATATTGAACAGTGACCAGTGTTCTTACTTAAAGCTGTTTGCGTTTATTAATACATGTGGCGTTATTCACCTTCAATTTGTGCTGCTCCACTTTCATTTGTGAATTCTGGGTTATCTCAATCGTTGCTGGCGACAGCTGACATCTCCCACAGTTCATTAAGCGTCAAGTGTATGAATGTGATGGCCTCTTCGTGGGGGGCCTAAGCTCACTTGAAGAGTTTTGAACTCTGGTGTTAATTAATGAACTAAGGAGAGCACGTTTTCGTGTGCATCCCTCGTTTGTCCCGAAGTAGGGATGGCAAATCGCATTGGTGAAACGTTGATAACCGACTGGTTGAAATACCACCAACTTTGCCGGATCATATTCTGCTATTTTCGAAAGCGACCAGTGACAAGACCTTGGTAGAATTAATGTGGATGGTTGCGTAAAAGTCATGATCCGGTTGGTGATCTCAAGCCAACGAAAGCGCGTACTATATCTGACTTCCGCTCAAATTAAAGCCTACCATCGGCGCATATCTGTGATCGTAGCAGGAGTCGAACCATAGACCGTGTTACCCCTAATGTAGTTGCGCACGCTAAGCCCACATGGCATTATTGCGTCTGAACAAGCGAAGGTGCCCTACAAGGCACAAGCGGCCACGAAACACCGCAAAAGGTTAGTGGGATTTTCCCACTCTGACGCACCTTAGAACTTGGTGATAGGTCACCTCCTTGTCACGCAAAGTGGCTGTTGATTTTGATCTTAAATTCATCCAGCCAACAAAATTATACAAGAAAAGATATCACCTTGGTTTGGATGCGAGAATTTGATTATGACATCTGGATAAGTAGGTCCTGGGCATGGTGCAGAAATTTATCCTGTCTTTGAGAACTCACCAAAACGACGTGAATTTGCGAATCAGCTCCAAGAGCCCGTTTGAAGAATTCCATACGAGTGGACAACATCAATCAAAGACTACGGAATATTTGATTTCGAAAACCGTTCACAAGTTTCGCGCAAGCTACCCGCACTCCAGTTGAGAGTTAGAACCCCAGTTCTTCGTTTTCGGAGATGAGGTAGCGCATGGGATTAGTTCAGTAGTCTACAGTTATGTAAATGGTATTTGTAGTACACAAAAAAGGTGCGACCTAGTGTGGGTCTACTAATGGTAAAATAGTTTGTGTTCCTATTAGCTTCTCACCAAATTGTAGTGCTAAGGAAATCAGCTGGAGCAAGAAATGTTCGCTGTTTCATTTGGCCAGTTTAAACAATCCGCATTCGAATCTCTTTCGGTTGAAGTACTTGCGTTATTGTTGAAGATAACCTGAAGCTTCACTGAGTTCGAACCCTGACCAAGAGTCTGGTCTTTGGTTGAGCCGCCATTCTTATATCTCACGTTCGATGCACAGGCCTAGGACGTCTGGTGATAAGATTTACGGTCTGGAATCATAAATAGTAAATCTGAATTTCCTGATCCAAAAAAATCTTTGTGGATACTAGGAACCATTTCTCAAGTATGATTGGTGGTCACATCAACCAGAACTCACAGATACCAGTTGGTTTTATGAAAACTCCTAGAGAAGAGCCGTAAGGACAGGAGCCATTACATTGTCTTGTCCTTACTCCATCACTATACACCACTCACGTGAGAGAGTATCGAGTAAATCCAGCAAAACGTTTGGTTGAAATTGACTGGTTTCAAAATCTGCATGAATAATTTCAGACAAAATGCAGCCATCAGTAACATTAGATCGCCATTCCATTGTGAAGGAATTGGGTAGACAGACATAGATGGAGCTGTACAGTTGGCCTTCATTATGAAAATCAGCGCACCAGTGTTTAAACCAAACGTTAGACTGTCCTTGGAACGGCTTCTTTGCTGGTTTTCCTGATTTTATCTTATGTCGATTGATCACAGCATCAATAAGACCTAACAATGAGGTTTCGAACAGTGGTTTTTCCAAAGAAATTTCATGGCGTTTCAAAACAAACACACTGCCGCAAGTTTTTTTTGTTCTTTTGCAAAATCAAGAATCGTTTTTGCTTCAGTGTGTACAAGGAGCTGATTTCGGCCCTTTCAGTCATTTGGCCAAAATCTTCTGTCATATGTTGTCCTTGGACCAAGATTTCGGCCCTTTCAGTCATTTGGCCAAAGTCTTCTGTGTCATATGTTGTCCTTGGACCAGACCCGGAATCACTGCTTTTAACAAAATGAACCAGGACATCCTTCTCCATACTTCACTTGTGAAATCGAGTTTCGCACTGCCGTACATTCAAGATTTTGTTGTATTTTTGGACATATTCGTTCACCTACCGCATGCGACCGCCTACCTCAGAAGGCAAGCTGAAAACGCCGTCAGATTTCGGGCAGTAACGAATTCCTGTATACAAAAGCCGACTAGAAGTCGAGTGACAATTCGATTGAGTCGCCGACCGAAACCACCTTAGTTTGCAAAAAATGTCTGAATGCATTAGTGTACAATTTAGTATTTCAGGAGTAAATGTAGTTGGTGGAAACTCGAGGACGATGCTGAAGGTCAAACCCAGTGGTAGGATGCCAACAAGTTTTCACTGGCCTTGTGGGCTGTCTAGTATTGTAAAAATAATTTAATATGATAAAATAATGAATAAGATAACAAAATGAATTAAAATAGAAACGAGTCTGCGTCTTAAACGTCGCTCCCGCTAAATTATGAGGCCACTTTTGCGGTCAGGTTGCTATTTCATAGACCCGGATTCAAAAACTTGATTTAGCTCAACTCAGGTCATTTAGCTTCCAAGACAGAAGGATACCATAGAGTGTGAAGCCATAACATTGTATGTGAATAGAAGATATTTCACCTAAAACATTCGTTTAATCCTAGCAACGTGGCGCGAATTCGCCACGCAAGAATTGAAACTGAACTGGAAATAAAGAATCTTTTGGTATGGGGGTGACACACTACTCGTTGCTGAAAACTATTCGACAACCTAAGACAGGTTTTGTCCCTGTTGCGGCTTACCAGGTGTGCGCACTTTCCGAGTCTTCCTCAACCGTATGTTCTACTTGAATTAGCGAAATACAGTCATTTACATAACAATATGATTTCCGTGGGAACCCTACTGAATCCCACGTGAATCAAGTGGAACACGAGGTTGAGGAAACCTCAGGGACGATGCCTATCTGACGAGACCCAATAACCGAAGAGCTTGTTGTGGGCTGTTGAATAGTTCTCAGCAACCTTATGACTAATGTGTCAAGTCTATCCCATATACTGCTATGCCGGCGAATGATATCAACTTAAACCTGAGGCAGAACATACAGTTGAAAGAGTACATCATAAACAACGATTTAACTTGAACTGAAAACCAAACTGGTATTCAAATGAATGTATTTTGCGGATCGCTTACTATGTTCTGTTGGATCTGTTTTTAAGAGCTTGCGTTTCAAAAGAAAACCACCTTTCTTATAATACAATGAACAAAATCCTCTTCTGTCACTCCGTATTACATTCAAACACACGGTCAGAAGGGGGACTGTTGTGGAATCAACATTAATCAAGTTAAATTTCATCAAAATCATGTTCACCTTTATTCCAGCCTCCCTCAGATTAATCAGACATTCTTGCACTCCAGGCTGTAATTTGTCTTCCACTCCGGTTACAGCCAAAACACTCAGGCCAGATTCAATCCTCTCGGTGCTTGTTTTCAACGCTTGTCGTCTGGCTTCTCCAAACTGCCGCATTGCCCGCTCACGTTCCCCTAGGAGTTCGTGATACTCAGCAGAATCGACTTGCCTTGTTGCATACATTAGAGTTCGTAGACCACTGCGGCCGAATTCATTGGCTCTTTCCAGAGCTAGAGTGCGTAATTCGCTGGAAGATTGGCTGCATATCTGTCAAAAAAGAGGGTCTGTGGGCAATTTTGTATCGTTTCTTTCGGTTTCTGATTGACTATTACCATAGACTAAACGGCTACTTCATGTGAAAAGTGCACACCTGTCACAGGTGCTGCATTGATCACCGTTTATACTGTGTTAAAAGTTTACTGACGGAGCAAGAATCTACAATATTTGACGTTGGCAGCCACCGCAAGAAAGAATGGCATACCTGAAACCCAATAGGGGAATCGGAATAGACACATGTTTTTAATGAAAACCTCCATGTTGTGATTGGAACTAGTCTCCCGTACTTGAACAAAATCAGCAAATGCGCCTTGGTACAGCCCATCACTTTCTGTGAGTTTCGTTTTTTATAAAACCTGGGTGTTTTCCGACGTGAAAGTCGTACGGCCGATGTACACAAGAACGTTACTTTCAACTCTCGTTTCGCTGTTCAGGATCTTTGACTTACTGCCTGCGGCCAAGTTCCTGCTAGCAGAGAAAAATTCATCGGATCGAACAATTTACTGGATTTGAACCTCGAGGTAAAACACTATCTGACTGACAATGTCTAAACTACTTGAAAAATTTCATAGAGGAAACTACTCACAAGGTTGCTGAAAACTCTTCGACAACTCACAACCGGTTTCACCCTTCTTGGGACTCATCAGGTAGGCGCAGTTGTTCTCAACTTGTTAGTGCAACCAAACGTGGTTTTTCGCTTGCCTTAAAATCAATATAAAGATAATTTGTCTTCTAAGGACGGAAGTTCTGCGTCAACAGTTTGTTAAGTGGAAGCTGTGTTTTGGAAAACACGTTATTCTAACCAAGTTTCCAAGAATGGACTCACTACTGAAGACGCCTTGTGGACGGTTTTGTCCGGTAACCAGTGTAAAGAGTTTTTTGGTGATAACCTCTAACCTAAGTCCACAATCCACTGCAACATGGTCCTGATAAATCTCGGGCTATAACGAAAAACGTACTTTTGGTTCCAGCAGCCGCGTCTCCGCACCTTTGCTGTGGATATGAAATGTCCCATCTGGGTAACGGACCATAACAGTCATCTGCTTGCGTTGAGGGTCAAATTCCAGGGTGGCATCGATAACATATTCCTCGGTGGGTGCCGAAGTTATGCAGTCGCCGTCATTATCTTCCGCGATCTGCCTTGGTTGCCTTTTTATTACCAAACGGCGTGCACCGGCTTTTTCCGGATCTGGGTCGGTGGAAATCAGTACAAGTCCCAACTTCGCGGCTCCTTCAACCAGAGCCTTCTCATCAGACGAAGTGGCCTAATTTTGGACAAAGATTTGGGAACAAATTTATGTGGCAAAATCTGTTTCAAACAACTTTTTTCGATAGATTTGATTCGTTTACAATTTCTCACTTCGGCAAAATGAATAAACTGTAGGCGTATCAATAGTTTGACATGGCGAACGCCTCTCGCTAGACTGTGGCAGAAGTGCCTGGCCTTCAAAAACGGCGTTATTTTTTGGCTCGTTCTGTGCTGTATATACTTTGGCCCGCTGTATACTGTTTCTTGTTTCGAAGTTCTGCTTGGCGCACATATTTTGACCACTTTGTTCGAAACGGGTGCAAGTGTGCAAGTAGTATATGTGGTACAGCTATGGCTTCGAGATGGCTCAGTGGTAAAGGCGCAAACTTACTGACTGGACGGTTCATGATCCGAACCCAACTTCAACGACCTGACTTCTTTCGTCTCGACTTGAGGCAACTGGGCACTATCTCCGTTGTCGCACTTCCTTCAGATAGCATGGTGGCTGGGCACCAACAGGGTGAGCTAATATCTACTACGTTCACTCCTATTTTCATCAGAGCAATGATGTTGACATACCGTAATCCAGCCCCGTAAAATGGACTTAGTTTTCTCTTTCAATCATCCAGTGTCATTGAAGACAACCTAAAATTTACAAAATCTCAAGGAACATTCTTATCTGAAATTATTTGGTCAGAATTTCGGGCTTCATAATATTTACCT